ATTTTAAAAAAAAAAAAAAGAGCTGGCAGGCAATTGCAAATAAAAAGCAAGCAGGGAGAACACAGAAATATCACATAAGTTAGAATATATATGGAAACAAAATAGGAATTCCTAGTTTGTGAGGGAAGATATGGCATTCTCTTTCCAAAAATTAATCCACTTTTTTCAATAAATTGACTTCCTAGCTGAATATATTGGGAAAAAATTGAAAACCCAAATTCAGACTCAAATGAACTACATGGTCTTCCCACCTCCCTAGTCTCTCATCCCCTTATTGCAGACCCCTCAGCGTGCCCCAAAGCTTGTCTCTTATCATGAAATGTCCTGTGGGTTCCTGTGCTGGCCATAGGCTCAGGAAGCACTGATCTAGTTAAGCACAGAAAGGCATTTTAAAAGCTTAAAGTAAAACAGTATCGTTCACAAAATATATATAATATATTGTTAATCCTTTATTGTTCATAAAATGTATTTCTTGTTAATCCATGAAGATGTGTTTTTGTTTCCTTTTTCCTCTTGTCCACTTAGTCTGGCCCTTTCCCCCAGCATGAAGCACAGGGTGCTCCTGGTGTTGGAAAAAAGCAGCTTCCTGGGCTTATGTCATTCATGTAACCTAAAAACACAGTTATTCTTTGAAAAGTGCAAGTGAAACAAATAGGGATACGTTAAATGATGCAAGTGTGATTTATAGAGACGATACGATCGTGGTGACATTTGAGGCACCACAACAGCAAAATGTCTTCAGATAGAATTCTTAGCAATCATTTTTCTTTCTACAACATCCCATTCATGGTTAAATCACAATAGCAACAAAAAAATGAAACATGGCAAAATACACTTAATAGGAATATTCAAGATCCTCATGATCAAAGTCAACAGAAGTCATAATGAAAGATCTGAATAACATGAAGGATAATTTTTTACTCAATAGGAAAAATAAACATTGTAAATATGGTAGTCTTCCTTAAATTAATATAGATTTAATGAAATGCAAATCAAAATTGCATATTTTTCTTTTTAATTGTTACCTTTAGAACTTGATCAAGTTAATAAACCTTGACCGTTATTAAAATTCAACCATAAGGATAAATGTATTAGAACAATACAGTAACCAAAGTTCTGAAAAGAAAAATTAGGGGGATTTGTTTTGTGAAATAACAAAATAAATTCTAAATAAACAGAATGTCTGTGGCACTACAGCAGAAACTACAGCAGAAACTGTGGTGCCACTCCGGCTATGTCTGGCTAACCAGTCTCCATCCTTCCGTGTTACTATACCAACCTGCTGTGTGGCCAGCACACCTTAGCAATGGCTTCAGTAATGTCTCTTCTTCTTGCTGCCCCCCTTTCCAGAAGATAAGATCTAGAAGAGAGGAACTTTGCCTGGCTCATTCAATGTTATCTTCCCAGCATTCGAAACATGGCTTAGCATATGACAGGTAGGTGCTAAAATATCTATTTAATGAATAGATGGATGATAATAAAATTATATCTGAATAGGTTATCTATCTACCTATCTATATATAAAAGCCTAAGCGACCATTACAACCAGTTGACCAAACGACCAGTTGATTGGTCCCTATGACTCAGACTGACTGCCAGGGGGCAGACACTTAACGCAGGAGCTGCCCCCTGGTGGTAAGTGTGCTCCCACAGCCAACCTCCTACAGTCCCTCCCCCTGGCTGGACAACCTCCCACAGTCCCTCCCCCTAAGACTGGGCGAGATGGCCCCGATGGCCCCAATATATATAAATTATACCTGCCTCACCTCACCATATTAAATGAGGTTAGATTGCAACCCTACATAATGTAGAATAAGTAAATTCCAGATAGCCAGGATTTAAACTTAAAATGAAAAAACAAATAGAAAAAGTAGAAATATATTTATATGTAATCTTGGATGATTACATATAAATATATGCAGAAAGCTTTTCACAGCATGATTCCAAAGCCAAACAAAGAAAAAGGAAAATTAACTGAATAAAACTTCAAAACTTATTTGTAACAGAAGATGTTATAAACGAATTTAAAAGAAAAATGACAGGGAACAGTATTGGCAACTTATGGCAAAGGACTAATATTCACATTTCAGGAAAGGCTTTTTTTACATATAAACAACCCCCAATATTAAAATTGGCAAAAGATGTGAGGAAGAAAAATTACATCCAGAGTTATTTTTGAGGGTTTGAGACTTGGGAGTATACATTATAGCTTCAGAATTTTTTTTTTTTCCTCAGAAAATTTTTTACAATTATATGCCCAATATTTATATTCAGAAAAAGAAGATATAAACTTATAGGCAAATATAAGTCACTAGAGGCCCAGTGCAGAAATTTGTGCGTGGGATAGGGGGGGTGTCCCTCAGCCCAGCCTGCACCCTCTCCAACCTGGCACTCCTCGAGGGATGTTCAACTGCCCGTTTAGACCCGATCCCACCGGGCAGTCAGACATCCCGATCTCACAATCCAGGACCACTGGCTCCCAACTGCTGGCCTGCCTGCTTTCCTGATTGCCCCTAACTGCTTCTGCCTGCCAGCCTGATCACCCCCTAACCACTCCCATGCCAGCCTGATTGATGTCTAACTGCTCCCCTGCCAGCCTGTTTGCCCCCAACTTCCCTCTGCCAGCCTGGTCACCCCTAACTGCCTTCCCCTGAAGGGTTGATCGCCTCCAACTGCCCTCCCTTGCAGACCTGGTCCTTCTCAACTGCCCTCCCTTGCAGGCCTGGCACCTCCCAACTGCCCTCCCCTGCTGGCCATCTTGTGGTGACCATCTTGTGCCCACATAAGAACAGGATCTTTGATCACATGGGGGCAGCCATCTTGTGTGTTGGAGTGATATAAACAAAACTTAGGTGCTTCTTGAGCCAAGTCCCCCAGCTGTCTATTTTTTAATATATATATTTTGTTGATTTTTTTATAGAGAGGAAGGGAGAGGGATAGAGAGTTAGAAACATCAATGAGAGAGAAACATTGATCAGCTGCCTCCAGCACACCTTCTACTGGGGATGTGCCCGCAACCAAGGTACATGCCCTTGACCAGAATTGAACCCAGGACCTTTCAGTCTGCAGGCCGATGCTCTATCCACTGAGCCAAACCGGTCAGGGGCCCCCCTTTGGCCCCACCCCAATGTCTTATATCCTTTTCCAGAGAAGCAACAACTCCATGTTCTAGTAAAAACTAGCAGCTTCCATTTTATTTTATTTATTTTATTTATTTTATTTTATTTATTTTACTTATTTTACTTATTTTATTGATTTTATTGATTTTATTGATTTTACTTTTAAACCTCACTAAAGGAGTGATGATATTTTTTCCATTGATTTTTTTCAGAGAGAGTGGAAGGGAGGGGGGAGAATGGAGAGAAACACGATGTGAGACACACTGATTGGTTGCCTCCCACATGCTCCCCAACTAGGGGCAGGAATCGAAACTACAACCCAGGTACGTTCTCTTGACTGGGAACTGAACCCACGACCCTCCAGTGAGCAGGCCGATGATCTAAGCCAGGGCAAATGTTCCATTTTAAAGCAATCAGTGCAGAAAAAACCAAGGCTCCTCATTCACTGTTTTTGTCCCATGATTTCCTCTAGCTAATGGACACTGGTTCTTCCTAGAAAAATTCTTTTTTTTTTTTTTAATATATTTTATTGATTTTTTTACAAAGAGGAAGGGAGAGGAATAGAGAGCTAAAAACATCGATGAGAGAGAACCATCGACCAGCTGCCTCCTGCACACCCCCTACCAGGGATATGCCTGCAACCAAGGTACATGCCCTTGACCGGAATCGAACCTGGGACCTTTCAGTCCACAGTCCCATGCTCTATCACTGAGCCAAACTGGTTTTGGCCCTAGAAAAATTCTTATGCCAACTCCCTTATCAAAACTTCTGTGACTCCTCCTCCACCCCCATGCCAACCCCCTCACCAACACACAAACTCCTCACTCCTGGCATTTAATCCCAAACTTTGTGACTCCTCACTACCAGTCAATGCTACCTTCTGTTCTACCTCTAAACTCCACTAGTAAATACCTAGCCCTGGGTTGGAATGGTGCAGAGCGTGCCTACACTTACCTCGTGCCTTCAATACCTCAGGAACCATGTTGGGCACTTCTTTTTTACATTATTTCATCTGAACTTTCAACAAACCTATGAAACAGGTATTATTCAATGGAATAAGCTGTGTGAAACTGCTACCAAAGTCAAGTGTGTGGCAAACACTTGCTTAATGCTATTATTTCTATCATGACCACGAGGAGCTGATGCTTCAGGGAAATCAAGTCACCTACCCAAGACAACACAGCTATTAAATGGTCAAGTCAGGACTTAAACTTGGGACATTCTGTCTCCATTACAGCAAATCCTCTCCCATTATCCCTATCCAACTCTCCTTCTCCGGCTGCCACACTGATCTTCTCCTTCTCCAGATCTTAGAACACTGACAATCTGGGCACCTAACCATACTCATTTTTTTTTTCTTTTTTGTAATATATTTTATTGATTTTTTACAGAGAGGAAGGGAGAGGGATAAAGAGTTAGAAACATCAATGAGAGAGAATCATTGATCAGCTGCCTCTTGCACACCCTCCACTGGGGATGTGCCCACGACCAAGGTACATGTCCTTGAGGGGAATCGAACCTGGGGCCCTTCAGTCCACAGGCCGACACTCTATCCACTGAGCCAAACCGGTTCAGCAATACTCATTCTTATTATCAGATTCATGTACAATCACAGTGATTGTATCTTGAAGAGATGTGACTTTTTATGTTCCCTGAGAGTCTGTAGCCCTGTAAGCACTTACTCTTGAACAGCACCAAGAGCTCAATAGGCAGGCTGAATGAGGAAGGGACAGCTGTGAACAGAGCTGAGGGAAACTGAAGATAGCTTTCTGCAAAATATCCAACATTCAGAGATCTCGGTAGCCCTGTCCTCTGCAGTGAAACCCATGTACAGTATAGGAATAAGGGGTAAAAGAGAGGTTTGAGGTTGAAAAGCCTCACCTGAGCTCCCAATGGTAGACGACCAGCATCCACTGCCTTCTCCTTCCTTCTGTGGGGTCCTTCCTAGGAGATGGGTGGGGAGAGGAGGCAGAGCTGATGGCAGGAAAAGAAGCCATGAGAAAGTAGACTTCCACAACAACAAGAAATAAAATACCTATAGATAAAGCAAATACAACGTGTACGCATGATTTACATGAAACTATGATTATTATTGTTTATTTTGCTAAGTTTATTTGCCTTATATATGAAGATGAACAGTGAGAGACATACCATATTCCTGTATAGGATGACACAAAATTTGTCACTTCTTTTAAATCAATTTATAAAGTTAACACATTCCCAATCAAATTACACCAAACTAACAATATTTTAAAACTAATTATGAAAAAGATTTTTTTTTAAGTTAACTGTGTTGTATAGCAACAGCCAGGAAATTTCTGAAAGAAAATGATGATGAGCAAAACCTTGCCCACCAGATACTATGAAGCTATGATAATCTATATACCGTGTTTCCCTGAAAATAAGACATCCTCCGAAAATAAGACCTACTTACAGGTTTCCTTCTGAGTGAAATATAAGGCATCCCCCCGAAAATAAGGCCCCCCTAGGCTAAACATGAGAGATTTGGTCCACTGATTCTGAAAGAAATGGAATCACAAGAAATTCGCAAGGAAATTCAGGAATTGGATTGTTATGATGATGTTCCAGAAGATGATGACATGATTGTCACTGAATAAATGAGTAAATTCTTGATACTGTAGGATTCACAGTTTGTCTGGTTTGTGTTGACAACGACTGTACTACCGTACCATATACAGGTAATAAATTTCCTTTATTTTCATTTAACAATAAATGTGTACCATATTCTTCTTCATGGAAAAATAAGACATCCCCTAAAAATAAGACCTAAGACCTAGCGCATCTTTGGGAGCAAAAATTAATATAAGACTCTGTCTTACTTTCGGGGAAACAGGGTAGATAAAAAGCCAGCGACCATAATGCCATAACGACCCTAACGACCAGTGGCTCTGACAACCACCGTGGCCTGTGAACCAGCCAGATCTGGGTGGGACAGGCCGGCAAATTTCGCAGCTCCTCCCGTCAGCCTGCCCTGAATGGACTCTCCCACCCCGATCAAGAGCAGGCTGCCAGCCAAACACCCTTCTCTTTCCCCTCCACCCCCCACCAGTCCTGCCCCCATCAGCCCACTCCACAATAGGCCCATAGCCCCTTCCCCCAGCCAGCCCACCCCTGATTGCACCTCTCCCCTCACCCCAATAGGGGCTCGGCTGGCCAGCCAATCTCCTACAGCCCCTCCCCCTGGCTAGCCATGCCCCCAATGGGCCCCCACCACCCTGACTGGCCCGCAGCCCCTCCCCCTGGCCAACCCCACCCCTGATTGCCCTCCCACCCCAATAGGGGGCAGAGCTGGCCAGCCAACCTCCTGCAGCCCCTTCCTCTGCCCAGCCCCACCCTCTATTGGCCCTCCCACCCTGATCAGGGGCAGGGCCAGCCAGCCAACCACCCCATGGCCCCTCCCCAGACTGCTGGTCCCCCCATCAGCACCCCGACCTCAATCAGGGTCAGGGCCTGCTGGCCAATCACCCACAGCCCCTTCCCCCAGTCACTGGTACCGATAGGCCCGATCAGGGCAGGCCGGCTGGCCAACCTCCCACCATCTCCTCCCAACAGGCCCTGCCTGGTCTGGCCGGACCCCACCTGTGCACAAATCCGTGCACTGGGCCTCTAGTTTATATATATAAAACCCTAATATGCAAATAGACCGAACGGCAGAATGGTCACTATGATGTGCACTGACCACCAGGGGGCATGCACTGAACATGGCTGACATTGGCAGCAAAGCACGGAAAATGGCAAGCATAGGCCGCTGTGGGCTGGTGCAGCAGGTGAGCGGGGGCATCAGACCAAGACAGGGCTCTGGTCACTGTCATCGGGCAAGCTGCTGGCGGTTACTGAAAATTCTTTACTCCCGCATGCCACAGACCTGCCAGGCGCTCACACCTGCTTCCGGTGCCAGAGCCGGAGCCCAGCGCTGGCCTTGATCACTCAGCACTGTCAGCAGGTGCGAGTGGTGGCTACTGTCCAATTGCCCCTCAGAAGCAAGGGGAGTGGAGAAGCTCTCAGGGGTGATGAGGGCCAGCAACCTCCGCTGGCACCTGCTGACAGTGCTGAGTGATTAGGACTGATGCTGGGTGCTGGCAATGGGTGCAAGCAGTGGCTCTGGAGCTAGCTGCAGATTCTAGTGGAGCTGGTGCCGGCAGTGGGTGCGAGAGGCAGCTGCTGGCCCTGATCGCCCCTCAGGAGCAGGGGGGGGGGGGGTGAAGATATCCTGAGGGGCAATCGGGGCAGTAGCTACCACTCGCACCCACTGCTGGAGCCAACCCCAACTGATCCATGCCATCAACAGGTACAATCAGGGCATGGGAGCGACAGCAGCAGGAGCAGGGCTGCCAGCAGACAGGGGACCAGGGGCCACGGCAGGGGTCAGACAGAGGTGCGGAGGATGGTCCGAGACTGGCCCCAGTACCCACCGCAGCCTCACAACCCACAGTTCCTTTCAAGGTTCACAAATTCGTGCACTGGGCCCCTAGTAGAACATAATGTTACTGAATGTCAGAATCACTCATTCACCAGATATATTGTTGACCAGGCACTATTCCTGTGTCTATGTACGTGTGAAAGGAGAGAGGAGTGAATACAGTTGCAAACAAAACGGAAAATCTCTCTGTTCTCCTGGATATTATAATGTAACTAGAGACCCAGCGCATGAAATTGTGAACCTTGTAGGGTCCCCTCAGCCCAGCCTGCACCCTCTCCAATCTGGGACCCCTCAGGATTGGGCCTAAACCAGCAATCAGCAGCTCTCTCACAACCTGGGACCACTGGCTCCTAACTCCTCACCTGCCTGCCTGCCTGATTACCCCTAACCACCTCTGCCTGCCAACCTGATCACCCCTAACTGCCACCCATCTGCCAGCCTGGTCACCCCTAACTTCCCCCACCTGCTGGCCTTGTCACCCCCAACTGCCCTCCTACCAGCCTGGTTGCCCCTCACTGCCCCCCCTGCCAGCCTAGTTGCCCCTCACTGCCCCCCTGCCGGCCTGGTCATTTCCAACTGCCTCCCTGCCTGTCTGGTTGCCCCACACACCCTGCTGTTCAGTCATTTGGTCATCCCTCACTAACACCCCTGCTGTTCAGTTGTTACTGTGACAGTGTCCTGGACAATTTGCATATTCCTCTATTATTAGAATACATGGGGGGAAAGAGTCAATGGAACAAAAAATCCTAACACAAACAGTTCAGGAAAAAAATTATATATGAGAAGTCAAGATAAGAAAAAAGTGAAATTCAGCCGAAACCGGTTTGGCTCAGTGGATAGAGCGTCGGCCTGCAGACTGAGAGGTCCTGGGTTCGGTTCCGGTCAAGGGCATGTACCTTGGTTGTAAGCACATCCCCAGTAGGGGGTGTGCAGGAGGCGGCTGATCAATGATTCTCTCTCATCGATCTTTCTGACTCTCTATCCCTCTCTCTTCCTCTCTGTAAAACATCAATAAAATATATTTTTTTAAAAAGAAAGAAGGAAGGAAGGAAGGAAGGAAGGAAGGAAGGAAGGAAGGAAGGAAGGAAGGAAGGAAGGAAAGAAAGAAAGAAAGAAAGAAAGAAAGAAAGAAAGAAAGAAAGAAAGAAAGAAAGAAAGAAAGAAAGGAAGGAAGGAAGGAAAGGAAAGGAAGAAAGAAGGAAAGGAAGGAAGGGAAAGAAAGAAAGAAGTGAAATTCAGGTCAGTGAAGAAAGGATGAATTATTCAATAATTCGGAATAAGAGCTTAATGTTTGGAAAAGAATAAAAGTTTACACATAAAATGCAACTAAAGAACTAGAAGGAAATGCAGGTGAGCATTTTTGTGATGATAAAGGACTATGAGGCCTAATGATGCCATAACCCCAAATATGAAGAGAAGGTATTCTTGTCTGACCACATGAAAATATGACATTTGTGCACAGTAAGGAAACACCCGTGCATCTGATAGAAAATTTTAAGACAAAAAGCAAATTGCATAAAATAGTTATTAATATTCAAAATGCAAACTTAAACAAACCTATCATTTGCACCTCTCAGAAAGTTAGAGAACAGTTAAGTAATAACCAGGTTTGGGGTGGATCAGTCTCGCTCAACTGCATTGCAAATTCTTAAAACTGCTACTTTCCTGGAAAAAATAAGATAAGAGGTAACAAAAACCCCAGCCAGTGTGCCTCAGTGGTTGAATGTAGACCCATGAACCAGGAGGTCACAGTTTGATTCCGGGTCAGGGCACATTTCTGGGCTGCAGGCTCCATCCCGGTGTGGGGCACGCAAGAGGCAGCTGATCAATGATTCTCTCATCATTGATGTTTCCATCTTTCTCTCCTTCTCCCTTCATCTCTAAAATCAATTAAAATATATATCAATACATACCCTATCTAATAAAGAAGGGATATGCTAATTGACCATCATTCCATCACAAAGATGGCTGCACCCACAGCTGAAGCCGTTACCATAAGGAGCCTTAAAGAGCAATCAGAACAGACCTTAGGCTACGCCCTCCCCCATCCCCGCAGGGCTTGACAGGGGACCTCCAGGCGCACCCCAGTTTGGGCTGAGGAACTTCAGGCCATGCCCCCCATCCTGGCACGGGGCCAGGGGACCTGAGGCTACATCCTCTGCCTGGCAGGGCTTGACAAGGGTAGGACTGGCCAGGTCTGGATCTAGCCCAATGGGGGCAGGGGCCGGCCAGGTCTGGGTCTCACGTGATTTTGAGGCGCTTGTGGGTGGGAGGGGACTTGACTCTGGGTCCCGTGGTGCGCCCCAGACTCTTGACAGGAGGAAGGTTTTCATATACATTTTACTAATTTTCTTTCATCTCTGACACTTCTATTATAGAGAAAGGGAAAATAGCAATATTAAATTATTTCCTCTAATAAATCCCCTTTTAGTGTGCATGAATTTTGTGCACTGGGTCACTAGTATATATTATAAAGCCCCAGAAATTTCACTTTAAGGGATTTATAGAATGAGACAAGAATGCAAAGATATATGTAACAAGGTGACCCGTGTTGTTTATAATCCTGAAACAAAACAAAACCTAATACCAGAAAAGCCTAAAGAAGGAATTCAGTATGGCACAGACATGCTTTTCCTCACTCATTAAAATGACAGCTTAGCTATTTTTAAAAACTGCTATAAGTAATGCTCTCAATATTAACTTCTTTTAAAATGTATTCTCCATGTTGATTGAGGGGTACATACATGGACAACAAATACATAAACCATGGAGCTTAAGATCTGTACACTTTAAATCCCATACCAAATGTATTTCACAACTCATGGAGAAAATGATATTAATAGCCATAGCTTTAAGAACAAAGAGTTTCGATGTTCAAACACATATATACGTCGACGTGCAGATTTTGACAATTTGCAAATAATTTTTCCCTTTTGCTCCTCGGAGTTTTCTGGATGTGAACATTTTTTTTCTTTGTAAGATTTTTTTTTTTAATGCTTACATAAAAAAGAAAGAGAAGGGGATTCTCTGAGGTAAAGAACCTGCACAGGGTTGACGCCCGTTCTTAGGAAGAAATGGGTCCCGGAGAGGCCAAGCCGAACGGAACTCAGAGGGCGCGCACTGAGTGCGGTTTACACAAAGGGCAAAGGCTGGAGCCGGCGCCCCGCCGGAGGCCAGCATCCCCCGGCTGCCGAGCGGGTCCCGGGGAGAGCCCGCGGCGGGAGGGCGCAGCCGGGGACCCGCACTGGCCCTCGGACCGCGGCCGCTCCTGACACAGGAGGGGAAGGACCGCGTGCGGGGACCTCGGCGGGAGCCCCCCACCCCCGGCCCGGCTCCCGGGGCGCAATGGGGCGCACCTGGAACCAGCGGCCCGGCGCTGCGCAGGGGCCCGTCCGCGCCGACCTCCCTTCGCCCGGCGGCCAGAGCTCGTCCCATCCGGGCCGCCGCCCGGCGCCCGCCACCCGGCCAGACGCGGCGCGGCCAGCCGCTGCCCGCACTCACCCTCACCCCGGAGCTGCCTAAGCCGAGCGCCGTCCCGCCCGCCGCCTCCCCGCGGCGCCGGACTACATTTCCCACAAGGCAGCTGGGCAGCGGCGCGGCGTGGAGTGCGCGGAGCCTGAGGGTGGGGGCGGAAGGGAAGGGGCGGTGCCAGCCGACCGAGGGACTGATGGACGGCGTGGGTTCCCACGTTGGGGTTGCGGCTCGCCTCGCCTGGAGCGGTCTGTACCGAGATCTTATCCTGACTACCCTAAAGCAGCCCCCCCGTTAGAGTCTGAGGTTCCTGATCCTTGGGGAGGGAGAAGGAGACAGCCTCGGCTAAGCCTCACTTTCCTCCTCTGCAGGAAAGGGAGCCCAGAAGAGCCTCTTGCGGAGCTGTCAGAAAAACGAGAAGAGGTAGTAACGTCTGGAGTGATAGTGGGCACTCCATGAATGGTGGTGACTGTGCCCACTCCCCTAGCCTGCTCTTAGGGCTTCAAAATCATCACTGTATAGAAGGCAGACAAAATCTTCAATGAAATAAGTGGCCAGAGTTAGTTTCAGCTAATTCTGCTGCTGGAACTTGGAGAAGACATGACTTTGGGGGCAGATCAATATGATAAAGTATAATACTGTGTTTTCTAAAATTAACCTCTGCCTGTTTCTGTTGTTGTGACAAAGACTGTAACCTTGACCAAACTTTAGACAGGTTCCTCAGAGCCCTCTTTCCCACTATTCCTGGTTCCTTGGCCCTGTCCTTGGTCTGTGGGGCTCCGTTTTAGCAAGAATCCTGCTAAGCCGAAACCAGTTTGGCTCAGTGGTAGACCGTCGGTCTGCGGACTGAAAGGTCCAGGGTTCGATTTCCGACAAGGGCGTGTACATTGGTTGCGGGCACATCCCCGGTGTGGGGTGTGCAGGAGGCAGCTGGTCGATGTTTCTCTCTCATCGATGTTTCTAACTCTCTATATCTCTTCCTTCCTCTCTAAAAAAAATCAATAAAATATATATATTTTTTAAAAAGAATCCTGCTAAATGAGCCTCGGTAGAATCCCCACTCTTTTTAATATATTTTATTGATTTTTTTACAGAGAGGAAGGGAAAGAGATAGAGAGCTAGAAAGGTCGATGAGAGAGAAACATCGACCAGCTGCCTCTTGCACACCCCCTACTGGGGATGTGCCCGCAACCAATGTATTGATACATGCCCTTGACCGGAATGGAACACGGGACCTTTCAGTCCGCAGACCGAGGCTCTACCACTGAGCCAAACCGGTTTCGGCAGAATCCCCACTCTTAATATCTGATCCAATTCCTAATCCCCTAGTCTTGATGTCTAAGTCTTTGGCCTGCATTTATTTAGCAAAAATCCTCCCAAAGTTGGTACTTTTGGTAGCTTTCCATCCACTGACCCTCTTAATCTGCTCATTTGCTATAAAACCCCATCTGTCTTTAGTGTTTTGGGAGTTGAGTTTGATTTTACTGAAGCTTCTCCCCCCTGTTGGCAATAGTACTGAATAAAATATGTTTTCTCGTCTCTATTCCTCTTTGAGAATTGTCTGAACTATTTCAAAATATTGAAAAATATGAAACTCTTCACAATTCATTTAATCAAGCTTAGGTAACCCAGATAATACCAAATAAACTACATTTAAAAAATCTGTCACTGCACTATGGCAAATACCTTGAACCAATTTTTCCAGGATTACAAGGGCATTCTTACAATCGAAGTTATATAACTATATAATTACATAATAACTATAATGAATTGTTTTGGTAGAGAAACGGTCCTTGATAAGACTCATGTAGGCAGAAAGTAGGGAAAGCGGAGAAGGAAACAAATTAACAAATAAATAAAAAACCCAACAGCCCAGAAACAAAACAATTCAGATAAATAAATACATAAAAAAGTGTTAGCAATAAATCAAAGTCTATCAGTAATCACCACATATACACATGGAGTGAACTTTCCAAATAAAAGAAAAATACTGTCCAACTAAATTTCTTAACCATCTGGCTATGTGCTAAAACATAAGGATATACAAATCTTGAAAGTAGAAAGTTGGATATATTTCTGATATTAACCACAGAAAAGTTATAATAATATTTAGATTTTAAAAAGTTAAGGCCAAAGCCGGTTTGGCTCAGTGGTAGAGCGTCGGTCTGCGGACTGAAAGGTCCCAGGTTTGATTCCGGTCAAGGGCATGTACCTTGGTTGCGGGCACATCCCCGGTAGGGGGTGTGCAAGAGGCAGCTGGTCGATGTTTCTCTCTCATCGACGTTTCTAGCTCTCTATCCCTCTCCCTTTCTCTCTGTTAAAAATCAATAAAATATATATATTTTTTTAAAAAAAGTTAAGACAAGCCAAAACCAGTTTTGCTCAGTGGTTAGAACATTGGCCTGATGACCAAAGGGTCCCGGGTTTGATTCCAGTCAAGGGCATGTACATTGGTTGCGAGTACATCCCCGCAACCAATGTACATGCCAGTGCAGGAGGCCGCTGGTCGATGATTCTCTCATCGATGTTTCTAGCTCTCTGTCCCTCTCCCTTCCTCTCTGTAAAAAATCAATAAAATATATATATATATATATATTTTTTTTTAAGTTAAGACAAAAAGTATTGTTAGATATGAAGAAGATAATTTAAAAATGACCTCATGCGGCACTCTCTCTCTAGCATGTTTGCACCTTTCTTCCCCCTTTTCTTCCATAAAAGCTTTCTTTCTCCTAAGCTTTTTCTTTTTCTTTGGCCTCTGTAACTTGTTTCCTAAGCCCATGCAACCCAGCTGGCTCACTTCTATCTCTGTGACTTTTAAAATATATATATATATTTTTTTTTAATTGATTTCAGAGAGAAAGGGAGAGGGAGAGGGAATAGAAACATCAATGATGAGAATCATTGTTCATTTGCCTCCTGCATGCCCCCTACTGGGGGTCCAGCCCACTTGTGCCCTGACAAGAATCGAACCATGCATGGGTCAATGTTCAACCAGTGAGCCATACCAGCTGGGCTTCTCTGTGACTTTCTAAATAAACATTTGCTTGTGTTTGGGGTGAGGGGGCGGGAGGGAAATGACCTCATGCTAGCCTATAAAGTGGTCTCAATACATTTCAAAGAAGTGGTATCATACAGACCGTATTCTTTAACACAGCACAGTTAGACTTTTTTTAAAAGGCCAGAAACTTTTTTTAAAAAATTTAGGTCAAAGGAATATTTAGAGATTGGGATAGTCATACTAACAGATTCTCTCCTTAACCAAACTCTAGGCAGGCTCCTCTGAGCAAATTTTCTTTCTTTATTCTAATCAATTATACAAACTTTTATTGAAGCTTAAATTATGGTACAGAAATACATTTCATGTTATTTAATTCCAACACCACCATGAAGAGAGAAATTATGGCACCAAAAGTTTATCCTCCTCTGTCATAACATAATAGAACTAGAGGCCCGGTGCACAAAATTCGTGCATGGGTGGGTCCTCCTCAGCCCCGTCTGCACCCTCTTCAATCTGGGACTCCTTGGGGATGTCTGGCTCACAATTCTGGGCCACTGACTCCTAATAGCTCACCTGCCTGCCTGTCTGGTCACCCCTTACTGTCCTCCTGCCAGTTTGGTTGCCCTAACTGACTCCCCTGCTGGCCTGTTGCCCCTCACCGCCCCCCCCCCCCCCCCCCCCCCCGCCCGCCAGCCTAATTATCCCAACTGCCTCCCCTTCTGGCCTGGTCACGCCCAACTACACCCCACCACCAGCAGCCTGATTGCCTCTTACTGTACCCCTGCTGGCCTGGTGGCCCTTAACTGCCCCCCCCCCTGCTGGCCTGGTCACCCTTCATGGCCCCCCACCAGCCTGGTTGCCCCCACGCAGCCTGCTGTTCAGTAGTTTGAACATCCCTCACTAACGCCACTCCTAGCCTTGTAACCCCATGCAGGTTGCTGTTCGGTTGTTACTGTGAGGGTGTCCTGACCAATTTGCATATTACAATTTTATTAGTATAGATTAATTTAAATTACTATTTAATCTGCAATTTTCATTTTTCTAAATTTGTTTCATACAAATTTGTATAGTTTTTCAACATTAGATAGAAATCTTAAATGTATTCGAAAAATTAGACCTCAAACCAACACATATCGTCAAATCTACTGGAATACTGTTCAAGAAATCCACTGTGAGACTTGGTCCTCAAAACAACACCAAAACAGTAGATACTGTGTACTAATTACAAAATCAAACTGGCCCATTGATTGAAAGCTTCTTCAATGAAACTTTGAATCAAGAATGCACTTAAAAGACAAAAGTGATCCAACCACTTGACTTCAAACCCAGTAGAGTTTATGTTTAGAAACACTTAAAAAAAAAAAAAAAAAACTGTTTCATTTACAAATATAGAAGGAAATGAAAACATCACTCATCAAGCCACAAAGAATTAAAAAAAAACATTTTGAGGACAAGAATACAAAATTTAGTCAACTGCTGTTTTCTAGTCTGCTTAAATCTCATAGTATTTGCAAATATAGCTAAAAATGGCAACTTTTGAAAGCCTTTATTTCTAGTCATTTCCCACTGGCCAATTGGAGTTGTGTATTTTTTAACATATATTTTATTGATTTTTTACATAGAGGAAGGAAGAGGGATAAAGAGTTAGAAACATTGATGAGAGAGAAACATCGATCAATTGCCTCCTGCACACCCCTACTGGGAATGTGCCCGCAACCAACATACATGCTCTTGATCGGAATCAAACCTGGGACCTTTCAGTCCGCAGACCGATGCTCTATCCACTGAGCCAAACCGGTTTCAGCTAGAGTTGTGTATGTTTTGTTTTATGGACAGCATTCTGCTTCACTGAATAACCTGAACAGTTCTCATGCTGGTCATTCACAGGATCCTCTGAAGTTATGGTGAAAGAAACACCCCCAGTAAGAGGAACACATAAAGTCAGAACACTACATCACAAAGTCACAGAACTTCAAGCACAAGACAGCAAAGATATTGATGCCACTC